TATGCCATCTAATGAAATATTATTCGATTGATTATTTTTTAAAAGTGTTTTTTTGGTGACATATCGTGACACGGAGAAAAATACAATTTAATTTTAAGGGAAAATAGGATAAAAGTTAGATGTTCAATCTAACCCCAATTTTTAAAAAAATATACCCCGCTAAGAAAATAATGTGAAATATATGAAAATATCAATCATGATTTTTGGTGGGCTGTGGTAATTTTTATATTCCTTTATGAATGTTTATCTTCCAAATTCTCTGAGTCTGAGTTATTCTTATAAGCAGAAGTAAACAAATATTTATTATAAACAAACCCTTCAAAGCTTGCTCTCTCAGTCCCTCTCTTCATCCTGGGGACCAATGCTCCCTTCTGGAACTTGGAGGCTCTTGGGCATGGTTTCAGCACTGGGCCACTGTGTTCTTCTTTGTCCATTTTATATATATATATATATAAATCACAAAGAGAGAAATTGCTTCAAAGGTAGAGATACTCTTATCATGCTGAGTAATTTGACAGATCTAAGACTCAGTTTCTTAGTTGTAAAATGGGAGAATGGCTACTGTTCTTTCTTATACCACAAAGAGATTATAGAGACTGAAGGGAGTAAGGAAGGGGAGAATACTTAAACCATTTAGAACAGAACATGATGGTAATGGATGGATTGGTATGTTACCAATGGTAGTTACAGCTTAGAAGATCTGACATTAAAGCATGGTAACAATATCAACCCTGTTAGCTGTCTGCATCACAATGCTTCATATGATGGTAGGGCTGAAAACTGGGTAATTAATATTGTGGTTGCAGGATCTTTGGAATTTTCCCACCAAATTTCTGAATGTTTTAATAGGCCCTCCTTTTCAAACATTCACCAAATAACGTCAAGTGCCAGAAAGGGTCACCAGAGGGCGCTAGATCACTTACGGTGTCCCCCTGGCTTCCACAGCCAAACCACCATGATTTGTTATGTCAAGAGTATTGGAACTGGGTCCAGGCCCGAAAAAAAATGAAATCCAGTGTACATTAGTTATGATGTTGGGCCAACATTTAAGTAAATAGGGTTCTTTTTTTCTCCTTGGCTATTACTTTAGTCGCTCTGCTTTTTCGGTTTGTATGCTAATGTACTTTTATTTATTTCTTCTCCGTCAGTTGAGACTGTTCAGATGAGAATACTTTAAGAGAAACCTGAGACCCTGGTTGGCTTTGAAAGCTGCCATAGGCACGTGTTCACATGATAAAGAGGCTGCCCTCCCCTCTGAGAAGTTTATAAATGTATTTAGAAAGAAATACATGACCTATATCATGGTCAGAATGGAGGAGGCTGAAGTTGTTCTTTTTTTTTTTTAAGGCTTATTTATTTATCTATTTGAGAGAGAGAGAGATAGAGAGCGCACAAGCAGGGAGGAGAAGGAGAAGCAGGGTCCCCGCTCAGCGGGGAGCCCCGTGCGGGGCTCCGAACATAGGACCAGGACCCCGAGATCACGACCCGAGCCAAAGGCAGACGCTTAACCGACTGAGCCCCCCAGGCGCCCCTGAAGTTGGTCTTTGTGGTTAGGCTGTCAGTGCTTGTGTGATGGGCTATGGGTCCCAGCCTGCAGACACACCTATGGAAGGGGGAATGCCCTGGGGCTATTCATAGGTGCCTCTCTATCCTCTGCCCTGGAGTCTGTCCACGGACTGTCATGGCTGCAGCAGAGAGCAGGGACACGTTGCCTCAGTCCTTATCCCAGGCGAGGGGCCTTGCGGGGGGCAGAACAGCAAAGTGGGGGCAGGGAGCAATAGTACTGCCTGGGCTCGTCTGCCCCACGGTCTGGTGCCTGCCCCGCCCCCCCCCAAGAGTACTGGTTTGGGGTCAGAAGATGCGGTTGGCGTTTGGCTGTGCTTTGGGTCACAGTAGTTATAACCCAGACCTGTATCATGTTTTCTTTTTCATCCTTACAAATACCCCTTTGTTATTTGTAGGTAGGTAGGCAGAGCAGTTCCTGTTTTTATTCCAATTTTACAAGTAAGGAAACACGATAAACGCAAGGTACTGAAGGTTCCTTTTGAGTTTGAGGTTGGTTCCGCTCTGCGTAGAACTTTTTCCTCACTTGGCCAGGTCAGGTGTGGGTCTTCCAAACCTGGTGCTGAAGTTGGCGGATGCTAGGGTGGTAGCAGAAGAGGCCGGCAAAGGCCGGATGAGGGCCCTCTCTGGTGGACGGTGGCTGTCTCATTCACTGCTTACCAGTCGAGCCGTCCTGGGAGGTAGTTTGGGACTGGGGTTGTATGAAAGGTAGGCTATTGACTTTGATGGCGAGGGACTCTGATGGGATGATGGAGGTGACAGCGGAGGAGAAACACAGGTGGGGATTCTGCAGTTGGGATGAAGAAGTCACAGCAACCTGTGGCTTCTTGCTAGTAGCCCCAGACTGGTACTTTAGGGGAACTCAGGTTGTGGGGCTGTCCAGGAAGGCCTGGAGAGGATTCATGGTGTGTGGGAGCTCAGTTTTAAGGGGAAGGGAATCCATTTTGGGGGTTTCCTATCCCTGTGGGCGGACAATCCTATCTTTCCCTGCTCCTTTTTTGCTATGGGTATTTTATTTTTAAATTTCAAATCTTGTACTTGATTTAAGGAAAGTCCTTAACTTTCCCGGCATATGCTGAGGCCCAAAGGGAGCAAAGTACAGCCATTTAGAAGGCTAATAAACCAAAGGTGTCTCAAGGTCACAGTTACCTTCTTGCAACATCTCCACAGCACTTCTGGGGCCGACCCGTGCCAACACAGTGCTGGGAAGAACCCAGGGTCTTTGCAGGGACTAATGCAGCATAGATGTGTTAAGAGAGGTTGCTGAACACAAAGGATGAGGCTACAGGTACTATCTGGGTGACAATTTCACTTTCTGGAAAATACTGTCTGTAGCTCCCTGTTATGCATTGCTTTTTTTTTTCCCTGTTTTTTTTTTTTTTGAATAGTAAGATTATATTTTTTTCTTATGTTCAGTTAGCCAACATATAGTAGTACATCATTAGTTTTTGATGTAGTGTTCAACGATTCATTAGTTGTCTACAATACCCAGTGCTGCTCCCTTTTACGCATTGCTTTTTGAGTACCAAATACTCAAGAACACTTACCTAGTTCTATTTCCCCCTTTGACCTTGACCCTGACTCTTTTCTAATGGGTATGTGTCCTGGGCACAATGAACATATTCTGGATGAGGCTTGGAGAAGCTGCAAATATTCCCTTCAGCCTCTCTCCCCAGCTAAGCCTCCCTTCTTGGGTCTCTCCAGCATCCGAGGGCCTCCAGGGGCGAGGGGCCTGGCTGAGCTCTCGCTCAGGCAGAAGCAGCCCTGGCCCTACAGTAAAGGATGCTAACTTGGCCTTCACCACACGAAGGGCTGAAAGGAACTTGAGAATTCCAATTAGGCTTAAACTAATGAGCTGGAAACTTTGGGGAAACCACTGTGGGCAATGAGGGGAGAGTGTGACCATCTTCCTTCTAATTAGCACTGGAAAAACTTGTGGTCCAGCTGGTAGCCAAGAGGAAGGGCAGGGTACAAAGGGAGCAAAATTTCTGAGAGTGTTACAAGAGGTGTGGTGTAGGAATAGAGGCTGCTGAACAAAACCAGGTTCTTCCTCCTCTTGAAGGGTGGGGGTAGGAGGGAAGACCCTATATGGGGAAAGGCAGGCTTGAGTGGGCCTAGAGAGCCCCTTCTCCCAGCTGGCCTCCTCACATGATGGGGCCTGGGGCTAGATAAAAGGGGAGAGACTTTGGGGAACTCAATTGTCTATTGTAGCCTGCATCATCCCCGAGGCCAGGTCCCCCTTGCTCATCTCTCTCTACTCTCTTAGGCAGCCTCTGTCCCTTAATAAGGAAAACGCAGAAAAACCACCTGCTGCTGTCAAGAGCCACAGACCACCCGCTAGCCTCCGGCCATGCGTGGGGCACTGGGGCACCAAAGAAAGGGGTAGGGAAGAGCAAACTAGGGGCCAGAGGGGGTCGAACTTGTGTGTATCTTGGAGAAGGGTCCTCCTCACTCCCGAAGCCTGAGGATTTAGGGGTGTCCGGCCCGTGGTGTCGATAGCTGGTCACTCCTTCCCTCCCCACCGGGGGGGGTCCTTTGGTAAAAAAAAAAAATGGTATGCCATGGGTGTCCCGCCATCCTCCTCAGGCCCCCGGGTCGCTCGGCTGGGGGCGCAGCACCTTGGAGAGAGACGCCCCATCTGGAGCCTTGTTTTGGGGCGCTCTACCTTGCGCTCGGGGGGTCAGGGGTGCGAGCCAGGGGGCCTCCGAGGGGTCAGCCTGTCCCCTGTCCAGCCCCGAGCAGAGGCGAGCCGGCGCTGCGGGCCTCCTCCCCTCCCGCCTCGGGCGGCCTGAGCCCGCGCCCGCTCCAGTTGCTGCAGCTGCTGCTGCTGGCGGCTGCGGGGAGCGCGGGGAGCGCGCCGAAGCGGCTCGGGCGGCGAGGACGGAGACGAGGAGGAGCCGGAGGAGGCGAGGAGGGAGAACGAGCGGAGGAGGCCGAGGAGGCTCAGCGGCGTGGCGACGCGGCTCAGGGATCCCGGGGGGCATGGGCTAGCGGCCGGGGCAGCCCGGCAGCCGGACGCGGCGGACCTTCCGTGGCCCCGCGCGTGCAGGGGCGGCGAGCCGGAGCCGAGCGCAGCCGGGGACTGGAGGCTGGCGCGGGGGCGTCCCCGAGGAGGGGGCTGATTACCCGTTATTAACTAGTTGCCGCCTAATAAGCCAGGGGCGGCGGTTGAGCGGCGCGGGCTGCGCCCGGGGAGGGTCCCGGGCCGGAACGCTGCGCACTCGCGTGGCGCACGGCGGGCCGGCGCGCAGAGCCAGGGCGGGCCCGGGGGCGGTGCAGACCCCGGGCGCGGGCGGCCAGTGGCGCCCCCTCGCTCTCGGTGCTGGGGGCCGGCGCAGCCCTGGGCGAGCGGGGCGCGGGCCGGGGCGGGGAGCAGCCCGCGCGCTCCATCCCCTCTCCACCCCCCCTCCCCCGGGCGGGCGGCCGGGGGGAGGGCGGGCGGCGGCGGCCCGCCGTATATATCTCGGCGCACCCCGCCAGGTCGCGCACAGCGCCCGGAGCCCAGGCGCCTCCCCGCCCCCTCCCCGCGCTCCGCGGCGGCGGCGGCGGCAGCAGTAGCAGCAATATGGCTGTTGATGGGTGTTCGGGGTGGCGCTGGCGGCGGGAGGAGCTCCCCCGAGCCCCTGCGCCGGCTGCCCGTTGCTAGCTATGGCAAATGGTGGCGGCGGCGGCGGCGGCAGCAGCAGTAGCGGCGGCGGCGGCGGCGGCGGAGGCAGCAGTCTTAGAATGAGTAGCAATATCCACGCGAACCATCTCAGCCTAGACGCGTCCTCCTCCTCCTCCTCTTCCTCCTCCTCTTCTTCCTCCTCCTCTTCCTCCTCGTCCTCGGTCCACGAGCCCAAGATGGATGCGCTCATCATCCCGATGACCATGGAGGTGCCGTGCGACAGCCGGGGCCAGCGCATGTGGTGGGCTTTCCTGGCCTCCTCCATGGTGACTTTCTTCGGGGGCCTCTTCATCATCTTGCTCTGGCGGACGCTCAAGTACCTGTGGACCGTTTGCTGCCACTGCGGGGGCAAGACGAAGGTAACGCGCGCCCCGGGCGCCCGCCCCCTGCGCCAGCCCACCTCCTCGCTCCTCGCCGCGCCGGGCCGCCCTCCATCCCTGCCTGCCTTCCCCGCGCCGCCTGCCCTTCCCTCCGCTCTCCCCGCGCCCCGCTTGGCGCGGCGGGCGGCGCGCCGGGGCTGAGGAGTTGCCCCCGACCGGTGCGCTCCGGGACGCGGACGCCCAGTGCCGTCCCCTTGTATATGGTGGGGTCGCCGGCGGCTGCAGTTGGGGCCGGACGCGGGGACGCGCGCCGCTCGGGGGCCGGGGTGCGGGGTAGGGACAGCGGAGCACGCGGGGCCCGAGGCCGCGGGGGGCCTCCGGGTGCGTGTGCCGCCCGCCTCGCCCGCCGCGGTCGGGCTCCTGGTGGTGGGAGACCGGGAGCACGTCGGCCCGCACTCCAGAAACCTGTTGGGGAGCCGAGTTCGCGGAGTCGGACGGCAGGGGAAACCCTTTGGGCAGGGGAGAAAATCTTCTGCACTGGGGAATCCCGGGGGAGGAACCTGGCCAGAGGAAGTGGGGGGGGGACCTCGGGGACAGCGAGGGAAAGTTGGGGAGATGCATCCCAGTTTTGGAGGCAACCCATGGAGGCTGCCACTTTAGGAATGTGGCGAGGTCGCACATCTGATGTCACCTTCCTCCCCATCCCGTAGATATTCTCGTGGAACATACCCCCACCCCAAGTTCTTCAGCCTCTGTATTCTCGCCCCCACGCCACCCTCCTTAGGTCCCCGGAAATGCCGCCAGCAGCGGGGAGCTGGAGCAAGGAGGTCCGCGCGAGAGCCTCCGAGGCCGCGGTTTCGCGCGGAGCCTCCTCCCCGGCGCTTTTGAGGTGGCTGGATGTCGGCTTAAGCTATTCCTGGCGCCGAGACGCCCACCAGCACCGAGGCTCACTACACCTTAAGTATGGTTGCTAGGCTGACTGCCTGGTCTGTCGCCGTGTCCCTAGAGATGTCCTCCTCCCCCTCCTCCCCCCACTGGCTGAAGGTGAAGGGCTGGGGCAGTTTTTCACAGAAAACTGCAAAATAAAGAACTGGAAAAAAGAGGGACGGAGCTGCATTGTGTTTGAGTAATTCCCATCCTAAGGGACTTCACAGCGCCAACATTTTCGGAGGGAGGGGAGATCAAAGGGAAGAGGGGAAGGGCGCAGGGTAGAGGCAGATCTTGGGATGTTCACACCTTTTTCTAGTAAAGTTAATCCCAGGACCCCTCAAACTTCCACAGGGCTCCACAACTTGTAGCAGCCTCCTTAGTTGCTATGGCAAGTAGGGAAGCCAGGGGCTGTTGGTGAAGCACAGGGTGAACCCAGGCTCTCTCTCCTGATCATTAATTATACACCGCGCTGCGTGCTGCAGCTCAGCTGTGTTTTGTGGCAGCACATTTGTGTTTTGGAAAATACTGGTGTGTTGGAAATAAGGGAGAAAAATAAAAGCCATCTCTCTCTTCCTCCTCCTCCCACTTCTCCTGAGGCTTCCAGATGTTGGCCAGCCAGCTTTGGAGTTACCTCCTCCGCCATAGAGGTTTCGCCTTACTTGTCCAGGTGGGAAACCTCCCACGTTCCAGAGAAGCAAACAGGTTACCCGCGAAGTCAGAACCATGAGACCCCGAGACCATGCTTCTTGCCTTAGCCTTCCTCTTAACCGCTTGTTCGTGGAGCCTTCTTGATCACACGTTCGCTCATCTCCTCCTCTGCCTAGTCTAGAGTCCTGGAGTTTTGTTTGTGGTTTTCCTTTACTGAGAGTCTGTGTCTGCCCTTAGGGGAGGGATAGCTCCTGGTCGTGGGCATCTAAAATGTTCAAAACCACTGAGTGGTTTGGGTGCAGTTTTTAACAGCCTCCTCATCCTTAAGGAATTGGGCATTCTTGATCATAATGAAAACTTTCCAGTGAGTCAAAATAAGTTGTGGTGTTTTTGTGATCGTAGGGTTTTAAACATAGCTTCCACGTGCTTTTACGCTAGGGGTCCACGGATGTCCCTGCAGTCCCCGTGATGAAATGCTACCTGGATTGTTCACATAATCTCTTCCATAAAATGATGACCAAGCATAACTTCTGTCAGTCTTCTCAAGAAAAGCGGTTTTTGGCAATGATCATTAGAAAAAATGATCCCTGTCTATTAGGCTATATTTTGTAGCTATGAGACCGACTGAGCTGACATAACTGGAAGTTTCTACAAAAAATCAACCTGGGATGAGAGATGCTTGCAGTTGGTTGGGAGCTTATGAGTCCAATGGAGAACGAGGTCAGGTCACTTTTGATACCATCAGAGCAGACTTTAAAACATGCCCAGAACCTCTTAATAACTACCCCTTGATTTGCTCACTTGAACCATGTGTGGTCAGCTCATTAATAGGAACTTAGGCCTTTTCTGAGCTTTTCTTTCTACCCCTGAGGTCTGTATTTTTACTGCCATCATGGTTTTTTGTCCTTCATTCTTTTTACTTTCCAAGTATTTGGTAGTTGTCGAGGTGCCGTATGGAAGAACGCATTTGTCCTAAGTTTGGAATAATGATTTTAGCGCTAGCAAACTGAGTCCCAAGCAAACTGAGACTGCTTTTGCACAGAATTCTGTCGGCTCTCAGATGTGCTCACCCTCACCCTCATTCAGTCCCAAGATGGTTTGAACAGGAGCTGGGGTCTCGTGGAGGGCTGGTTTCTAGCTTCTGAAATTCCATGGGAGGTAAGTTTCCGCAGGGTGTCCTGACATCACAAGTATTTGGCCTCTGGGATGGCACCATCTTTTTTGATCAAAGGAAGCTGGGACTATGGGTGTGCCTCATGGGGCATCTCATCATTAGCACCTTTGGCCTCTGAATTTCAAGTGGTGAGTGACTTTACTGTTTTGAAAAGAATGGAATGTGGACTTTATTCGGGAAATGAGAGAACTAATCACATTTCCCCCTGTTGGGAACTTGGGCACAATCATCCAGTCCCGTGTTCTTTGCTGTACTTTATCACATTATTGTTTTTCTCTGTTGGGTTTCGTCAGGGCTCTGTGTTCACGAGGCTGTGACGTTTTGAGGTCCAATCCAGTTGTAGAGTGTAGTGAACAGTGAGCAGCTCAGGCAGCCTGGATCAGGCCACGACCTTGAAGAAGTCATTTAACATCTCTGGGCTCTTTTTCCTTGTGTTTAAAATGTGGAGATTGAATTCTGTGACTTCTGATGCCCCTTCCTGCTCTATGATACAGTGTCAGTGGTTGGAATGAGTTGAGAAACTACGGGGAAAGTTTCTAGCTCAGAATGTGTTTTGCAGTTTTCTGGCAAATTCTTTAGGAATTCAGCCTTGGAGTGCTTCTGCATCTTTATTCCCGCCTTCTCCTCTTCCAGCACACAGTCTCCTTCTCTTCAGATTAGCCTGGGGAAACTGAGGCCAGCTTTCTGAGGGAGCTGTGGCTTGCTGGGGGACCTGAATGTGGCCAGGCATAGGCTCAAGCCTGCTCTCAGTTTGAGCTATCCACCCTGTAGAAGTTTGGGCTTGATCAAGCCCGGTCTGCATGTAATGAATTATTGTCTCCATGGCTGTGTCTGAGAAAACAACACGTTTTCTCTGTCAGGTTCGTGACTAATATAAATATCAGATCCTGTTATGGCTTGGTAATTACCCAGGGTCTGGCCCGACGCATCCAATCAGGGCTGGAGCTCCAGTGCCTCAGAATTCTTGATTCCAGATTGGCCCTGCTGCCTCATCTCATCCTGGGGATTGCCTGCACTGGACGACCTTCAGCTAATTCTCTCTGATCAGATCACTTAGGGTGGCCTTGGAGAAGTTCTCAGGTCCCAGTCACAGGGGAGTTCCAACAGACCTTCCCTCGAGCAGAGGGCGTTTGCTCCCCATTACCTGGCTCTCTTCATGGAAATGCGCGCTTTATCGTAGAGACTCGGCAGTCAGACCCGAATGCAAATCCTTGGTTGCACACTTAGTAGCAGGGCATCTTTGGCTGGCAGCCATATCAAGCCTTGATTTCTTCATCTGTAAAAGGAGCATAATGAGGCTTACTTTGTAGGATGCTTATGAGGAGTAGCAATAATGGGTATATAGTACCCAGCAAATGCCTGGCACTAAGCAGGCTTCCTGTAAATAGCTCCGCAAAGTGGTGAGTTTGTTTTCTCCTCCATTCCTTGAACGTTTTTGGCCCCAGGGGGGCACAGACTACAACAAGTAGAACTTTTTTGAGCCAAAAGGAACCTCTAGACTCTGAAGTCTCCTGTCCTTGGGTCCAACAACCACTTAGGGTCAGACTGAGATTTGGGTTCATGGCTCTTGGCTGTTGCAGGGCTGGAGGATTGGGGCGGGGCAGCCAGGGAAGGCTCTGTGTTTTGACGGTTGCTCTTTGGATGGTGGGGACGTTGGTGGACTAGTGTTGACTAGTGTTGACACCGTCTGGCTCCAGGAGCGGTAGACCGAGAGGATGTGAACAGTTTGGTAGGAGGGCAGGGGCCGGCCAGTGTCATACCTTTGAGAAGGGACCACGTCCATCCCTGTTACCCCAGTCCAGAGCTCACAGACCTGTTCCCTTGATGATGTCACAGTTTCCTGGCCAGGGTTCTCTGTACCAGCACCAGCTCTCCTCAGAGCGGTGTTGCCCAAAGTGTGTTCTGTGGAGCACTTGCCCTTTACCTTGTGAAAAACGTTGTGAGTCAATGGCACACCTGAGCGCCCCCTTGGAGAGTCACATCCCAGGCTTGGGGATGTCCTGTAGTAGAGAAATTGGTGAAACTGCGCTTACCTGAGCTCCCGTAGAGCAGACTTGCTTAGCTGTCGAGCCTGCTGTGCCGATACCCGAGTTAGCCTGTGACCTTGGGCAAAGACTTTGCTGCTTCGTGCCTCAGTTTCCTCATCCGCAAATTGGGGGTTGTCATAGAGCACAGTCCTGTGGGGTAGCTACTCTCTCTAGCCCTATTTTATAGACTTTCCTAAGAGGACACTGGTGACCTAAAGCCTTGGGCTGACTCTGTATCCAGGTGTGCCTGGACTTATCCA